TGAGATCCCAACCATAGGATTCAAATTCCTTAGTTTCCAAATGTTCTTTCTATTTTAATTTGTCGCAATAACATCGCGTTTGGCTCTTTAGTCGAGAGGAATGAAGTGTAGATTGTGGTTTAAAAATTAAAGAGCTGACTTAAAAATATTTTTATTATTGTTTGTCGTGTTTGGACCAATTACGACGCTTTGATGGGGGGTGGGGGGTATAAACATTGAGAAAAATATTGATTTGTAAATGTCTGAATAGCTCAGTTGGAAGAGCAGTCGCCCGGCAAGCGGAAGGTCTCGGGTTCGATTCCTGATTCAGCCGACTTTCGGACCAATATTTTTCTCGCCTATTTCTTTACAGGGGATGTTAAGAGAAGGAACAAGGGGAATTTCTGAGATCCCAACCATAGGATTCAAATTCCTTAGTTTCCAAATTTTCTTTCTATCTTAATTTGTCGCAATAACATCGCGTTTGGCTCTTTAGTCGAGAGGAATGAAGTGTAGATTGTGGTTTAAATAAGATAACATAAACTTTTTAAATTATTTTTTTATTAATTTATTTTAATATTATATATTTAATAATATATATAATATGTATATTTTTATAAAATATATACTTTTTATATAACATTTTTACGGTATATTTTAGTTATAGTATAATTATTTTTATAGTTATATTTTAATATCACATCATATCAGTTTATATATATCAATCTATATATATGTAGTACTTATTTTAATATCACTTTATCAGTTTTGGTGTTGATCAGCTTGATTAGTTTGGTTTTTTCTTTGTCTCTGAAACAATCAATAAATTTAATGTTTAATATATGTAATATTGTTGTTAAATATAAAAATATAATAAAGATAAAAAAGAAAGACGTTTCTATAAAATATATATATAATTACATCTTTCAAATCTTTTAATATTTGTTTGAATATTATTTTGAATAAAAAACAATGAATAATGAATGTAATAAATGTTATAAAGGATTATTAGAGACAAATTACATTTAAAAAAGCACCTTAATTAATAATTAATTCTTATAATAAATATTAATATTTATAAAAATAAATTATAATAAAATTTACTCACGCAATTTTGCGAACGCGTGCAGGAGCTTGAATAATCCAATTACTCACGAGTTTTATAAGTATTTCTTCGGTTGTATCGGTATCGTGTAATCGAACAACAGCTACAAATATATATAGTATATCAATTTATAATACTGTACATATAATACTATAAAAAACATTATCATCATAGCAATTGTTAATTTCAGAAAACAACTATAACGAACGTATACTTAATGAAGTCTTACCTGTAATTAAATCAACGATTTTAAAATTGCGAAATGCATTTTTTTCTCGAGCTCCTTGTCAACTGTATGACATTAATATGTCATCCTTTATTAATGCTTTCAAAATGTTTTTGATTATATCTTTTAGATTTGTTCCGCCTTTTCTCAAAAAACCTCTCTAAAATAATTTGAATTATGAAAATTATTAAAATAAAAAACAAAATTTGTAAATATGTAAATATGAAAAATATACACAACACTATAGTATATGTATATATATATATATATATATATATATATATATATCGAACTATTTATAATCATATACATAATTATTTAATAATTATAAATAATATAAATTATAAATATTCAGTATTGTTAATAGTTATATTTATTAAAAGTAAAAATAAACATTTACCATTTTCACGAAAAACTCTTCATTTTTTAAATTTTCTTCAAAAGTTGCAGCTCATTAATCGATGAAATAGCGTTAAATGTAAAAGCTTCTTCATTTATATTATTTTCTTGATTTCTAATTTTCTTTTCTTGGTTTGATCTGTTATTTTATTCTCCATTCTATTGAGTCTTCTATCAATGTATGCTACTTCAATCAGGAGGCGATTAACTTTTTTTAAAATTTCTTTCAACACTAAAAATTAAAATATCATAATTTATATTTTAAATATTGTATATATATATATATATATATATATATTTGAGTCATTACCAGAAATGTAATCTTTTTTACCTTTTTGAGTTTGATCTTCATTATTTTTATTTGTTAACTCTTTGTCAATGGAATGAACATCATCTTTATCATTAAAATCTTGATTTTTATTTTCTATCTCTTTTTTGTTATGTGTAGTGATCATTTCCGTTTCTTGTTGATCAATAATTCTCTGTTTTTTCTTTTCAATTTAAATCATTTTGATTTTTTCGACTGCAATGCTTGGATTTTCAAAAGTTGCTAAAACCTGTGCAGACTTTTGCGAATGAAACAATTTTTGTGATCCAGAAAATTCCTTCGGGTCTGGTAAAGGAGACAATGAATCCACTTCTGTACCAGAAGATTCATTATCAGATGACGTAAAATTTTTTGCAGTAGCTCTATCATGACGTGTTTGTTTCATATTTTCTTTATCTTCAGTATTTATGTCCGAAATATTTTCGGCCATCCTTAACTTGTCTTGGCCTCGTTCGAAAGTATCTGAATGTAACAATGACAATTATATATTTACATTTATAAATACAAAACATAGACAATTAAGAGTAGTGTAAATTATATGTCGATAGTTCAATGTTAAAAGAAAATATTTAAGTTTTCAAATAGAATTAATTCTTACTTTTACACAATATAAATTCAATGAATAATTGATCCAATAAAATCAAAAAAAGTAATTTTTAATTTTATTTGTTACATATATCATTAATATAGACCCACACAGAACAAAAACCTCTAATGGATGTCCACTAGACATCCATCAAGGAAATTCAAAACCTCTATTAGACGTCCACGAAACCTCCTATAGACGTCTACTAGACATCCACAGTTCCGCAATTCATATATCCATTCGACATCCATTAGACGTATTCATGGATATTGTATGGACGTAATATGGAGTATACCATGGAGCAATTTGGACGTAATATGGAGCAATCATAGATATTTCATGGAGCTTTGATAGATAATAAATAGACGTTAATTGGAAGACATATAGATGTAGATTTTTGATTTTGTTTTGGTTTACTTCGCTGTAAATTAATGTAGACAATTTTTTTATTAACAGAAAATATTTTTATTGATGAAATAAATATGTTTATGAATACAAGTAAAACTAATATACAATATATTAATATAAAATTAATATAAGTATTTTTTATGGAATAAAATTAATATAAGTATTTATAATGTACATATAAATTTTTCTGCGACTTATCTAACTCCAAGAACGACAAAAAGAAAGATAAACGCATTTACAAATTTATGAAGACTTTTCTCGCTCCATTTTCGTTCTCAATACAAAAACTTCTCAAATTATACATATATATATATTTTTTTTTTTCCGAGTAACGCGAGGACATATATCTTATAATTAGACAAATTAGGTCGATAAAATAATATATAGATACAAATATTTGTATAGTAATGCTAATTAAACATGAACGCTTATTCTCTTATGAAAAATTTTCGTATGCGAAGATGACGCTGAACGAAAATTGTGTGTGTGTGTTGTGTGTGTGTGTGTTAGCGTGTGTGTGTGTGTGTGTGTGTGCTGTGCGTGTGTGTGTGTGTGTGCTGTGCGTGTGCGTGCGTGTGTGCTGTGTGTCTGTGTCTGTGTGTGTGTGTGTGTGTGTGTGTGTGTGTGATTGGTATATACTTTTAAATTTAAAAATATATACCAATCTGAAGAATCGCGTAGCGTCTTTCGCATAGGAAAATTTTTCGATTTTAACAATTGAGGTCCTGGAACAATTCTAACAGGGAGAGGCTTCGTCCGCGCATATCACTGGCTTCATCGGTCTTCATCGGTCCAGTCTCTGCGATCTCGCTACATTGCTGAAATATAAAAGTATGTGTGATATACACGTATAATATAAAACATCAGATGGGTGATAAAAAAAAGTGCAAACGCAATATTAAAAGTAGATAAAAATTATTGCAGGAAAGGGGCACTGGAATTATATTTTTTTTTCGTCACACAATTTCCAATATAGACGAAGAGAGAATATAATTACATTGCCCCTCTTCTTGCTAATGTTGACGCGTTGACTTGTATGAAAGCGCGCAATTTATGACTACGTTTATACGATCCGATTTACGCCGCAATTATAACATCGATATTATTATTAATACAAACGTTTAAGGGTGACGTGTAAACGTAGGGTGCTTTCCATTTAGTGACACAAGTCGACACAAGTATCATTCTATCTTTGTTGTTCACTGTTGTTGAAAAAAGACAGAATGATGCTTGTGTCGACTTGTGTTGCTAAATAGAAAGCACTCGTAGTCATCTCGCTCGTAAAAGCGAAGCGTTCGCGCCAGTGATGTCAGAAAGAATTAAGCTTCGAGCAACACGCATCTCCCCCCCCCCCCGCCCTTATGGTTGCGTGTTGCTCAAAGCTCGCTTTTAAAGGCTTTGTTTACACCGAGCACTTAATACGCGTACCAAATCCTATACGTTCTATAGGTCAGATAAGTCCTATAAGTCAGATAAGAGTCGGTAGTCGCGATCGACAGTTGAGTCGGTCTTTGTAGTCTTGCGACAGGAGCTTAACAGTGGTATGTGACGTATGTACAATATGTGACGTAATTTACGGTCTTGTGGAAGGATCAAATGTAGTGTTAATATACAGTGAGCGTCAAAGATGAGTATACATCTAAAATACATATAAACATTAAGTAACAGTATAATGTGTAACATTAATATTATAATTTTTCATATATAAGGCATGCTACATTGCAATTACGTTGCAGTTATCTTGTTAAGTGAGAAATTATAATATTAATAGGAGCTTTCCGGCAAGACACAGTGTAACACAATGTTCACTAGTATAAGTGAGACACACTGATACGTTCTCTCTCACACTAATGGACACTGGTGTCGCCTGTGTTACCTGCTGGAAAGTTCCCAAAAATGTTACGTTACCGTTAAGCCTGAGACACAATGCGAGGCAATAGCGATAGGAATAACATAGCACAAATTTCAATCTATAAGAAACCACATTCCATTGGTACGTGGTTTCTTATAGGTTGAAATTTGTGCTGTGCTATTTCTATCGCTATTGCCTCGCATTGTGTCTCAGGCTTTACTTTATCTTTACTGGAATTCTAAAGTACAATATTAGAGAACTGTGTTTTCATTGACATTATTAATAACTTTTCATTTCTCTATTCACTGCAGTCCTCCAAGAAATTAGACAAAGCATTACCTTCGCGTCTATTCATCCGCTTCTCCTCATTTTCATGCCTCGCCTTGGAATGTCGGAACCACTCCATAACTCGTCGTTGTATTTTTCTCTGGTCGGAATCCGGGATATTGTGAAGTATGGATCCTGTAAACATTTTCTTTGTTTTAACTTTCTTATTTTATATTCATTGAGATAGAGAGTGCATAAATTATATTTGAATAATTTTGCTTTTTTAGTTTTATAATGCAAAAAGATTAAAAGTACACAAAATTTTATTCACATAAATTGATTCATCGAAAACTTTTTAAATTTGATTAAAATAATAAACAATTACGAATATCTACGTGGTGTCGAATGGAAAATTGCTGAAAATAAACAGCTGTCATTTTCAAATGCACATAGAGAGGAAGCAGTAAAAGTAAAATATTTTCTAAGAGAGGCATTTTTATTTATACATAGAGTAAAGACAAATATCGGAAATATACTTATTATTTAATAAACGATTTATAAAAGATGGTTCAAGATAATAAAGGAAATTGATCAGAGCTGTGAGAATTAAAAGCAATGAATGGCATCTCAAAAGAGACGTAAAGTTACGTAAAATTATTTATAGTTTCCGCAAGAGATATGATTTTGTTTCAATGATGTTTTAATGATGCACTTTAAATATGTCATTAAAAAAAAACTTTATTATAAATGATAAGAATGTCTTTACTCTATGTGAAAATAAAACTGCTGAATGTCCTCTATTTAAAGATATTTTAATTTTTTCTGCTCCCTACGTGTATTTAAAAATAACAGCTATATATATAGGTATACATATAGGCCCGTATTCAGAACTGCACGTTTCAGAACGGTCAATTTTTAACGCACATAAGAAACAAAAAAATTAAAAAATTTTTTTACAGAGGACATTTTGCATTTATTTACATTTAAACAAAGATAATTGTGGAAATAATTTTATTACTACGAACAAACGTTTATTTCAAAATGCTAATTAAATATATATATATAACAGTTAATTTCAGTAATTTATCAAGGGCGCATTGTACTATATTGTCCGTATTCGGAATGCGCTTTTAAAAATGTTAGCGCGCTTTTTTGTCATTCTATCCTTATTTCACGTTTAATGAACAATAAAGATAGAATGACAAAAAAGCACGCTAACATCTTTAAAAGCGTTCTGAATACGGACCATGCATATAGTACAATGCGTCATGATAAATTACTGAAACTGTTATAATTAAATTAGTATTTTAAAATAAACGTTTGTTTGTAGTGATAAAATTATTTCCAATCTTTATTTAAATGTAAATATAAATGCAAAATGTCATCTGTTAAAAGATTTTTTTATTTTTTTGTTCCTTATGTGCGTTAAAAACTGACCGTTAATTATAGTCAACAAATTTCCGTGACACCCTGTAAAATAACACAGAGAGAAGAGAGAGAGAGAGAGAGAGAGAGAGAGAGAGAGTTTGCATTCGCGCGCGCGCGCGCGCGTGTGTGTGTGTGTGTGTGTGTGCAGTTTTTTTATCTGTCATTATGTGTATATATATGAAAGCATTACTTAATCACATATTTTTACGTTTAATTAATATTTAAACTTACTGAAAATAACTTTCATCACTTCCAGTTTCTGCAGTGGTTCCTTTCCGCGTCGGCCTTCCCAGTTATATCTCTCCGCCAATTTATTGGAGAATACTTTATACAATGTTCTCTTTACGGCATCATCGACACTTGTCCCTCCGATGGATTTGATATATCCGCGCTATAAAATAAAAAGGTAAAATAATATATTATTATCAGATTAAATAATTCCTTAAAATTCTTTTAAATTCTCAATCTTTCCAATCATTTTTTTATAACAATTTTAAATTATTAATAATCTGAACGATAAAATGTATGCAATAAAAGCTTGTAAAACTTCATGGTAATTGTGAGTTACAGTATTTGTTCAATTATCAAAATATAATTTCGCGTCTGATTATTTTATTGGTAAAATATTTATATCTTATATATATAAATTTATATGCGTTTACTTACTATTTCAGTGTTATGTTGGGAATTTGACGCTTTCAAGATCTCCTCAACTTCCGCTAACTGAACTACGGTTTGCAAGGGAAACCGGTTTTCAGCGCCCTCAAAGGAAATTTGTGTTCTCTCACATTCTGTGTCTTTATTAATTTTGTCCACTATGATGTCTACTAAGGTCAGTATTTGCCTCACATCATATTTTACTGATGCTACTTCCCTCGTTAATTTTTTTAAATGATCAACTACAAATATTATTAGTATTTATTTTCTTGAAGGCAACGTGTAATACGACTGATTTATAAAATCAACATGATATGTAATTGTAATGTATCAATAGCATATAAATTTATATAATAAATGTGTTAACGTTTATAATAATAATATAAAAAAAATACAAAAACATATAATAAAAAAACGTTATAAAATGTGCATAGTATATAAAATATACGAATAGCTTATAAAACATAAATTAGTCGCATTACACGCTGCTTTCAAACGATAAACCAGAAATATACAAGAATAAATGTAAACTGTTGAAAATATTTAAATTACACGCGCGCGCGCGCGCGTGTGTGTGTGTGTGTGCGCGCGCGCGCGCGCGGGTGTGTGAACGTGTGCGTGAGCGTGTGCGGGCGTGCGTGCGTGCGTGCGTACGTGTGTGTGGGTGTGTGTGAGAGAGAAAACGATTAAAATACACAATACTGCGGACATTGATATGTATAAAATCATATAAAAGAATGATTATTAAAAACATTATAAAAAGGACCAGTAAAGAGATTATTAAAAAATATTATTAAATTATGCGCATTTTATATATATATATATATATATATATATATATATAAAATGCGCATAATTTAACGATAATATTTTTTAATAATCTTTTTAATAATACTTTAAGTACTTTGTTTAATATAACCTTTTCAATAATCTTTTTTATAATAATTGAGTGCATAATTGTGTATTTTAACCGTATTTACACACACACACACACACACACACACACACATGCATTACATTTAAGCTGCGTTCGGAAACATCACACGAGTGCACACCGGCCGCCAAAACTCTATTCTATGCGTTAGACCTGTTCTACAATAGAGTCGTAAGCTGTAAGACGTAAGAAATTGACCAATCACAGTCGATTTTTCTTCTATTTTAATTCGTCTTTGATTGGTCAATTTTTTATGTCTTACAGCTTACGACTCTATTGTAGAACAGGCCTAACGCATAGTATAAATTTTCAGCGGCCGGTGTGCATCCGCGTGATGTTCCCGAACGCAGCTTTACTTACCAATTGGACCTTCTGCGTGTGAAAATTGATTATTAAAATTTTCCTTTTCCTTTTCAATTTCTCTGTACGTATACTTATTCTTAGTAGCTCGGCCAATTTTTCCCGCATCATTGTCATTATGTCTCGAGCCGATCGATGGCGTCAATGGTGGATCGATGGTGTCATACCAATTATGTGTCGAATTAATTCGATTTTTCCCTTTTATTATAGGGCTGTTATGCGAATATTCATTGTCTGACCGACCATGGGCATGTATCAAGCCATCTCGAGTTTTCTCTCTTGGAGCAATAATAGTACGCGGCATATGTTCCTCAGCATCTGTTTCACATGAAGCACCGAAATCATCTCCATTCCTATCTTCATTAATAGGCGAAGCTGTAGAGAACAAAATTGTATGTATTATTTTAAATATTGTATATAAAAGTTAAATATATATATACATATATATATATATATATATATATGTAACTTTAATAATATTAATTATAAAATAAATGATAATCCTTAAGAGTCGCCAGTAATAAATAATGAAAATCTCTCCTCCAATTTTAAAGTCGACCAGACTGGCAATAATTTATTTTAAATAATTAGTTTAATTTACAACGTTTCGGCTGTCATTGCAGCCCTTTTCAAGTAATCTATAAACAATTATATACATATAAATATAATCTTAATGCGCTTAATCATACAAATAATTATAAATTTACAAAAATATATATGTTTACATACCAGATTAATACAATAAATCATATTTACAGCAAACCCCCGACAAAATTCACCATTGTTTTGATGAACAATGTATAACTGACAGAAGTAAGCCCGAAATAAATAGATGTTGACTGTTAGTAGAAAACTTAGTCATTACGCGTTGAGGAAATATAAAACCAAAGTACTGTGTCTTTCGCAATTTTTAAACCGTCAATACAAAGTCAAATAAATAGATAAATAAATAAATAAATAAATAAATAAATAAATATGTAACATATGACAATATAATATATTAAATAGCTTCAAGAACGCGATCATAAATCCCACTGAAATTCTCCGTATCTTTTTGTAAATTAATGCTTTTTCTTTGGTTTTTTATATAGAACATTTCTGCTATTTCTCTTTTTCTCGTTTGTTTTTCTTGATGCAGAATCACAGGAGAATCCCAACGGAACTCATGATCGTTACAAGTCCGATGCAAACTAACAACTGAGTGTGATGTCGTGTCTTTTTTAATGTTATTTTTATGTTCCTTAATACGTGTTTCTAAATGTCGCTTTGTTTGTCCAATATATGTAGAGTCGCAATTCGCGCATTCGATCTTATAGACGACATCGGTTCTTTTTAAGTTATCAATACTATCTTTTCCTCTTTTTATCAAAGTGTCTAATTTTTTTGGAACGGTATATACTACACCGATTCCATTTTTGTTTATGCAACGAGTAATATTTTCGCTCAAATCTCTAATATACGGCAACACTATAACATTTCGTGTATCAAATTTATCTCGATTAGACGCACCAAAATTACCGCCAAATTTAATCGCCCTAAGTCTCCTGTTAACAATTTTGTTTATGACTGTTAACGGGTAACAATTGTTACGAAGAATTCGTTTGACTAAGATGATGTTTTTCTCGTGAAACATAGGGTCAGCGAGTAAAATAGCCCTGTCCACGGGGGGGTCCACAATTTTTTTCAATTATTCCGAAATGTAAAGTGGAGGATATGCTTACGATTTTTAATAGTTTTCACACTCGACTAAAGTTTACGTTTGAATTGGAGAACAATTGTTCCTTAAGTTTTTTAGACACAAGCGTTATGCGAGTTAATGGCAAATTGACGACTGACTGGTTCCGTAAGCCTACGTTTTCAGGCCGTTATATAAATTTTCTTTCGAACCATCCGATGCGTTATAAAATTAGTGTGATCACAAGTCTCGTGGACAGGGCTATTTTACTCGCATTGTTTGTTGTAATTAATAATACAATAGTAACTAACAATCGTTGCTATGTACCAGCGTTGTTAGGGACTCGCAGACGCCGCGGACCGTCGCCGTGCTCGTCTCCTCTTCCGTTCCCGTCTGCGATCCGTGCAAGACGCGCCGTCGATTAGCCGTGAGCATTTTACAGGAGATATTAGCATTGAACAAGGAGAGCTATCAAAGAAATAAGGCAAGTATAATCTGAAATACATATTAAGTAGTTTTTATTTAAATAAAGTGCGTATGTACGTAGTTAAACGGTAATAATAATACATGCAATAAAAAGCGCGCCAAAATGTCCGTCGCGCATATGACCAAAGATACCGCCAAAAAATTAATTCAGAAAGAGAGTAATGAATCATATACACTCGTCTGTAATAAACGTAGAGTTCCCAATTGGCACGTAATTATAAATTCTTTCGTTGCGGATAATGAGATGAATATAGAATATAGAGCCAATTTGCATGTATGAATGTTGTTTAGGACGTCGTCGCCGGCGATAAAGTCCGTCGCTGTTCGCTGTTCCGTTCCTCTGATGAACTGTAGACAACGAGAGCTGGCAAAAAATAAGGCAAGTATAATCTGTAGTATTGAATAGTTTTTATTTGAGTGTGCATATTTACGTATATATAGTTAAACGTTATCCGGCGAGAAATAATTAATCGAATCGGCATCATGTATTGTAATATATATATTTATCCAGTCAAATATCACCCATTGAATTGACATATAATCGACGTCGAAATTATCGAAATTACATGTACTTCGATGTAATTGTGATGATTTCGACGTCGATTATATGTCAATTCGATGGATGATTTCTGACTGGGTAAATATTACAATACATGCAATTAATAATTCAGCTGTGATTATATTACTCGGACAATATATACTATTAGACAAGGAGTGTTATAAAAAAAATTAAACAAGTAATCTGTAATCTTTAATAATTTTTATTTGACAGTTACACATACATACACAGTAAATATTATTTATATATATTGTAAATGTTAAATTTGATTAAATATTACTATACATGCAATTAATCGCTCCGAAACGCAAATGTCTGACGCTGTAAACTCGAAAAGAGAATGATAAATTTGACTTACACACTTTTCTGTATAATAAAAAACGTATAGAGTCCTCAATTCGCATATAATTGTAAAGAATTCCGTGTCGAATATAATGATGAATATACTAATTCGCATGAATGTTATTAGGATTATCGACCTTAAAGCTCGTCGCCGTGCGCTTTTCCTCCTGACTTCCTATGGGCTGTAGATGCGTATAAGACGCATTAATTCAACGGAGATTCAAGGAGAGTAATCAAAAAAATTTAGCAAGTATAATTTGTAATCTGTAATAATTTTACTTGACAGTCACGCAAACGCACGCACGCACGCACGCACGCACACGCACGCACACGCACACACACACACACACACACACACACACACACACACGTACGCACGCACGTACGCACGCACGCACGCACGCACGCACGCACGCACACACACACACACACGCACACCCACACAGTAAATATTATTTACATATTTTAAAAATACGTTACATTTATCACGTATACGTTACAAATATTACATAATAAATCCAATCAACCATGTCGAAACGCAAATGTCTGTCGCGTATTTCAGCGAGGTATCGCCGTAAGTTAATTCGAGAAGAGAGTGACGCATTATTTTCACTTGTCTTTAATGAAGAACGTAGAGCCAATTTGCACGAAATTAAAAATAATTTTACTTCGGATAATTCGGATAATAATGAATGTAGATCCAATTCGCACATAATTTTAAATAATTCCGCTTCGAGTAATGATAATGATGACTCTGGGAATGTTAATTTGAATAATACTCTTTTCGAAACACAAGAGGCAAATTTAACACATTCTAGTGAAACGAGAATTTCCGAATCTGATGTTTCTTTAAACAATGTATTGCCACACTTTATCAGAGAGGATAATAATTCAGAAAACGAAAACAATGATTTTGAAACATTTTTAGTACAATGGGCTATTACGCATCGTATTTCTCATGTAGCTTTATCACATTTATTGTCTGGTTTAAAAAAAGTGCATCCAATTTTTTCTAATTTGCCAAAATGTGCAAAGACATTATTACGTACACCACGATCTTCTAACGTTATTAATGAGATATTTCCTGGTCAATATTGTCATTTGGGTATGGAATATAGTATTTTGCAATTTTTATCTAAAAGTAATAATTCATCTTCTATTAAAATTCAAATCGGTATTGATGGTTTACCAATATCTCGATCCAATTCAAATCAATTATGGCCCATTTTAGGTCGTATTATGCCTCACGGGAAAGTATTTCTTATTGGTTGTTATTTCGGCAAAACCAAACCAGCGGATGCAAATCAATTCTTAGAACAATTTGTAAAAAATGTTACAGTTTTAATTAATGAAGGCATAACTTATAACGAAACAACATTCCCAGTGTCGATACATTCTATCATTTGTGATGCTCCGGCTAAATCTTTTATTACGCTTACTAAAGGACATACTGGTTATTTTAGCTGTTCGAAATGTACAATTAAAGGTGATTTTATCGCTAATAGAATTTGTTTTCCCGATTTTGATTGGCAAAAAAGAACAGACGCTAACTTTCGTAATCAAACCCAAGAAGAATACCATCTCGGTCGTCCTATTCTATTGAATATTCCAAATTTTGACATTGTGTCTCAAATTCCATTAGATTATATGCATTTGATATGTATCGGCGTTGTTAAGAAGCTAATAAAATTATGGATATGCGGTCCTCTTAATGCTAGATATTTATCCTCGCAACGAATACAAAATATTTCCAAATTTCTTCTCGATATCAGGCATTTTATTCCGAAAGAATTTGCGAGAAGACCGCGAGAAATTGAAGATTTTGCACAGTGGAAAGCAACCGAATTGAGACAATTTTTGTTATATACCGGTCCCGTTGTATTGCAAAAAGAATTAAAGCCTGATGTATTTTCCAACTTTCTCACTTTGCATGTTGCTGTTCGTATTTTATGTCAAAATAATAGTACGGCTGAATATATTGAATACGCGAGCAAATTATTGAGATATTTCGTTGAATGTTTTATTAAAATTTACGGGCCCGAATTTGTGTCTCATAATATTCACGGGCTTCTACACATTACTGATTGCGTAAAACAATTTGGGCCGTTAGATACTTTCAGTGCCTTTCCGTTTGAAAATTTTATGAAAGAATTAAAATCTATTTTAAGAAAATCTGAAAAACCATTGGAGCAAATTAGCAATCGCTATGCGGAAATGAGTTTTTGTAAAGTAAATTCTGACAATGTTAATATTTCAAAAATAAATGTAAAGAATCCACACGAGAGAGGACCGCTAATATCAGGTTGTTTTAATCCACAATTTTCGAAGATTGAATTTCCTCATTTTATTATTTCAGTCAAATCTCCTGATAATTGTTGTCTCATAGATAAAGATATCGTTTGTTTGGAAAATATCGCAACATCGAATGAAGGCAATTATATTGCAGTAGGTCGTAAATTTAAGGTTGTCGAAGAACTTTATAATAATCCATGTAGTTCTGTTCATTTGGATATATTTAAAGTGAGAAAATTATCTGACATTCAAGTCTGGCCTTTACATAAAATTAGATCTAAATTTATAAAATTGCCATATAAAAATGAAAGATATTTCGCAGTAATACCGCTTATAAGCACCGCACATTTATAATATTTACATATTGCGCTCCGCTTTGTAATATCTTTTATAAATAAAAAATTAAAATAAATTGACAAAATTTAAATAAACTGACAAAATTGTGGTTGAGACAACAATTACATATACATAACAAATGCATCAAGAGACACGGTAGTGTCTCGCGACCAGTTAAGGGCGTAGCGGAGACACCGTGTATCTTAACGCGAGTCGGACATTTGAGTCTTTATAATATTTCGAATCCTCAATAATGGCTGAAGCAATCGAGTTTATACTAGACTTAATCGATAGATTGAGTTCGAATTATATAATAAAAGTGTCTTTATTTCTGCTCTACGTGATTTGTAAGCAGAGATATATAAATGCAAAGTCGAAATATGAAAAATTTCTATTAAGAAACGTCCCCGTCATCATTATCATCATTATCATCATTATCATCATCGACCACGCATACATAGTAGTATCGTGCTACACGTATTCACACGTATACAACACATGCGCACACATATATCACACGTACACAACACATGCAAGATGCATGTAGTGGTAATTTTGTCCATCTCGCACGTTTTACAACAGATGGCGATAGTGGCGCTCCGCCATATCGGCAGCGTGCGGGGTTATGTTGGCTAACTCTCTCTCTCTCTCTCTCTCTCTCTCTCTCTCTCTCTCTCTCTCTCTCTCTCTCTCTCTCTCTCTCTCTCTCTCTCTCTCTCTCTCTCTCTCTCTCTCTCTCTCTCTCTCTCTCTCTCTCTCTCTCTCTCTCTCTCTCTCTCTCTCTCTCTCTCTCTCTCTCTCTCTCTTCTCACACACACACGCACACACACACACTCTCTCATTCTCACTCACTCACTCACTGTTCGTCTTGTGTACTTATTTAGTACATTCATGATTAAACATCTATATGCATTAATGTGAAATTTACTTACAATTAGTTTACTTGAAATATTCAATCTCTAAAGTGTTTATCTTATAAGATAGACAAAAAAATCTGAGTAAATAATAAGAAAAAAAAACAAGGATTATTATTGTCATAATTTTTTATCAATTAAGTACTCTCAACTATCCAATAATTAAATAAATACGTACAAATGTGCGCGCGTGTACACACATACACATATTGATATTAAAGAGATTGAAGGAGAGGAAGGAGAAGATAAAAATTTAAATATTCACATATATTTTCAAATATTATATATGAATTTATAGTTTACATATCTAATTAATAATGAATTTCTAATTATATTAAACATATCAAAATAAAGACATACATGTATTTATCAAATGAATAAAATTATTGAATACAGACTTAAAAAATTTATTAAACATAGACTTAAAAAATTAATTAATTAAACATATTCCAAATTTAGAAAAAATAAACTTTATTTATATATGCAACAGCTTTTTAAACTAAATTTTTAAATTCTATTTTATATTAGACAATTATCTCAATCAACATCTACGTCCACATTAGCTGCACTGCAGACTACCTCTACAGCCACATTATCTGCTCCGCGGATATAGCGTTATGCCAATACGATACATTACATGTACTTACTTACTTGCCTTTACTGTACCAACTCTTGTTCTTTCCACGTAATCATGTTTTTACAGTTATCGTTTGCTGTATATCTTCCAGCAAACTTTATTTCGTGTGAAGTGTATTTAATTAATTAAATCTCTGCGAAAGATTGAGAAGATGAAGGGATAATTCAAACTATGAAGACATGGTTACATGGAAAAGACAAGAGTTGATACAATAATAAAGACATACATGTATTTGTATCCTGCTGGCATAAGGTTATAGAAGTTGATTGAGATTGAAAAATAATAATGAAAATAATAAAAAAAATAAAGACACATGTATTTGTATCGTGCTGGCATAAAGTTATAAAAGTTGATTGAGATTGAAAAATAATAATAAAAATAATTAAAAAAAGGAAATATTCAATCATCATTTAAAAGCATATTTGAAATCTGTAGAATAAACAGTTTTTGCAAAAAATGTGGAGCATTTGAGCTCTAGTAAGTCTAAAAATAAATGTAAACATCAATTAATAATAACTGATGTTATATATATATTATATATATAAACCAATTTGTTGCAATATTCACTATAAAAGGTTGTAAGGGTAAGATGGCTAAAAGTGAATAATTTAAAAGATAGTTAACATAATTTTACATAAACTGAAATATTTCATAGAATAAAATATTTGTAATATTTCGAAGTTTATGTAAGATTATGTAAAAATTATACCTTTACAACTTTTTATAGTAAATATTGCGAGGAATCGATTTATATGAGAAAAATTAAGGTAATTCTATTTTGAAAATATAAGTGACCTTTAAATAACCTTGAAAATCGCCGTTTAGGAAAAAGTCTGTGTCAACTTTTTCTTTTTCGAAATCCTGCAACTTTTATCTAAATTTAATAGAAAATGTATAAAAAATGCTCGACATTAGTACACACACACACACACACACACACACACACACACACACATATGGGTAAATTTATATAAATAGGGTGCTTTAGGAGGAATGATCAGGATTCTAGGATATGATTGTACACATCATTTTAAGCAAAGAAGTTTAGATAAACATGTTTAATAATTGTTCTATTCCGGTCATAAAAATATACAAAAATGAATGATATAATCTCTAAAAACTCACCTTTAAAAAAAGGTAAAAAAAGGCGACCAGTTAAGGGCACGCCATTAACAAAAATTATCCATTGCAAACCCATGTAGAATCCTATCCTATTGCAAACCCATGTAGAATCCTATGAAAAATTAATCATTGCAAACCCATGTAGAATCCTAGGCAAAATTAACCATTGCAAACCCATGTAGAATCGTACCCATTGCAAACCTATGTAGAATCCTATGAAAAATTAACCATTGCAAACTCATGTAGAATCCTATGAAAAATTAACCATTGCAAACCCATGTAGAATTGTATTAAAAATTATCCATTGCAAACTTATGTAGAATCCTACATTGCAAACCCATGTACAATAGAATTGTATGAAAAATTATCGATTATAAACCCATGTACAATCGTAACAAAAGTAATGAAATAAAAAAAATTGCGCCAAGTGAAAGTAGAAACTTGTACCAGTGGAAAATTAAAGTTGCAGACATATATAGAGTCGTATAATGAATCAGTAAAAATTTAAATTTGCAAATGTAGAATCGTACCATAAAAAAACTTATCTTTTAAAAAAAAAGATAAACAAGATGCCAAGTCCATGCGCCATGTAAAAAGAAATAAAAAATTTTAGTTAAAAAAACTGGGAGCGCTGCTAAATAATATTCTAACAATATTAAAATTAAATTGTTACTTTTAAACTCATTACAGTTAAAATATGTTTTGTGTTTAAATTAATTAATGTTACTTTAAGGTGCATTGTAATTTTGAAACTTAGCAGCGCGCCCAGTTTTTTTAACTAAAATTTTTTTATTTCTTTTTCACATGGCGCATGGACTTGGCATCTTGTTTATCTTTTTTTTTAAAAGATAAGTTTTTTTATGGTACGATTCTACATTTGCAAATTTAAATTTTTACTGATTCATTATACGACTCTATATATGTCTGCAACTTTAATTTTCCACTGGTACAAGTTTCTACTTTCACTTGGCGCAATTTTTTTTTATTTCATTACTTTTGTTACGATTGTACATGGGTTTATAATCGATAATTTTTCATACAATTCTATTGTACATGGGTTTGCAATGTAGGATTCTACATAAGTTTGCAATGGATAATTTTTAATACAATTCTACATGGGTTTGCAATGGTTAATTTTTCATAGGATTCTACATGAGTTTGCAATGGTTAATTTTTCATAGGATTCTACATAGGTTTGCAATGGGTACGATTCTACATGGGTTTGCAATGGTTAATTTTGCCTAGGATTCTACATGGGTTTGCAATGATTAATTTTTCATAGGATTCTACATGGGTTTGCAATAGGATAGGATTCTACATGGGTTTGCAATGGATAATTTTTGTTAATGGCGTGCCCTTAACTGGTCGCCTTTTTTTACCTTTTTTAAAGGTGAGTTTTTATATACATAACAATACACATATACACAAAACACATCTATATAAATTGATTTCTTTTTTATTACAATATTACACGCAGAAGCTCTTTTTTAGAATCGCATTGGAAGATGTCGAATCAAGGCTTTGTCGTCGCAGAATTCCCGGATGGTATTCAAGTAATACCAAAAATTTGGTTGCAAAATAAAGATAAATGCAAATATCCCTCGCATTTTAAGACGGATATAAAAATCCGAAAAGCGGTAGAGAAACAGGAGATACCAAAGTTTGATTGGCCCGCATTAGAAGTTATAAGAATTTTTGGCGAATATTGTAAGTACTATATTTAAGTATAGGGTTTTACTGACTTTTATAAATATTTTACTTATTTATAATATTTAATGTTTATAATATTTTCAGCGTCCTTACAGAAGGCTTATGCGAAGGCAGAGAAAGCTTTATACACGTCAGATATGGACACGGAAAAGGAAGCAAAATATTACCGAAAACATAGAGCGAGAAAAATTTACTCTTCGTCGGAAAGCGAAGAAGAGTCTGGTGTAAATTTGCCACCTGCTCCATGTCCTCCTGCAAAACGTAACGTTATAAGCATTTTCATTGCGCGCGCCCGCGTGTGTGTGTGTATATACATACACACACACGCATTCAATGTATATATATTTTCTTCATTAAATATATATATGTATATATATGTGTAAAACTCTCTTATATCTCTTATATTTAACATATTGTATTATATATTTTATACATATATTTACACATATATATTATACATATATTTTATTTTATACACACACATACACACGCACGCACGCACGCACGCAATATTCGTACAACGTCACCTTCGCATATGAAAATTTTTTATATGAGAATAAGCGTTCATGTTTGTCAGTATAATTACAATTAGCATTACTATACACATAATTGTATCTATAATATATATATATTGTTTTACCGACCTAATTTGTCTAATTATAAGACGTCCTCGCGTTACTCGGGTAAAATATATTAATATATGTATAATCTGGAAAGATTTTTTTCGTAGAAACCGAAAATGGAGCGAGAAAATTTTTTGTATGCGAAAATGATGCTGCGCGATCCCTCTGATTGGTATATATTTTTAACTGTGTAAAAGTATATACCAATCTCACATACAAACATACACGCACGCACGCACACGCACACACACACACACACACACAACACACAACACACAATTTTCGTTCAGCGTCATCTTCGTATACGAAAATTTTTCATAAGAGAATAAGCGTTCATGTTTGTCATCATTACAATTAGCATTACTATACAAATATTTGTATCTATATATTATTTTATCGACCTAATTTGTCTAATTATAAGATAATGTCCTCGCGTTACTCATCGGAAAAAAAATATATATATGTATAATCTGGGAACATTGTTTTTGTATTGAGACCGAAAATCAAGCGAGAAAAGTCTTCCTTTTGTAAATTCGGTATGTTATCTTTCTTTGTAATTCAAGGAGTTATGTAATAAAGGTCGCAAAAAAATTTATATATATATTGAAAATACACTTGTAGTAATTTTATATTAACATATTGTATTATATAATTATACTTTTATTTATAAACGTTATCAATAAAAATATATATTCTATTATAAAAAAATTGTCTACGTTAATTTTCATTAATTATTAGGAGATATTTATTTATCGAATTAATTTCTAAATTGTTGAATGTTTTTTAATCATTATTTATTTATTTGCGTACTTGTAACAGTAATTTTATTAAAAACTAGCTAATGTATTTTTTGCAAGATTTAAAGTCATTTCAAATTCAATACTTTCTATTTTTAATTAAAAATTAAAAATTTTTTATATTTAATAATAAATTTTATAAATATTACAGTTTAATCTAAAAAGTTTTGATTCATACAATTTGTTAATCTTGCTATTACTATTGTATTATTATGTAAGTATATTTTTAAAAACTGTTTTAATAAATGTTACGTATATATAAGTTGAAAATTGAATAATATATATATAATTACAAATTTTTCAATATTTTTTAAAACATTCTCAGAAATAAGAATTTTAAATAAAACTTAATTTTTATTTTATTCAATGCAAGGATGTATAAATCTATCATATATCCATAATAGATGTCTAATGTACATCCATGATGAATTTGTAGACGATATCTATTGTGGAGATAGTATGGATATCTATTAGAAATCCATCTGTTGTCCACCGTGGAGGTAGAGGTCGCATGGAGGTATGGAGGTTATATGGACGTCCATTGGATGTTTTGTTCCGTGTGGGGACTCTTGTTTACATTATTTTAATTTTATTTATTGTATTAATATTGCCAAGAAAAAAATAAACTTTTTAACAAAAAAAAAAGAAAAAAGGAGTTTTAATAAATAATTATAAATATACCTGCTGAAGCAAAAATGCATAGAACATCATACATTGCCCAGCCAGCTTTTACATTTCTTAAATCCAGTATTTCTTTATTTCTTATTGCCTTATTCAGCCTCTTTTTCGCATCGTAATTTGGATAGAAGCAAACCTGTTGCTTTTTAACAGATTCTTGCAACCAGTTATTAGGGACTAGTGCTAGCCCGTCGTAGAATTGAACTATATAAAAGTTTTCTGGAAACTATACCAACAAAATATATGTATAATAATGAATTAATTTATTGACAATAAATAATATTACAGTCATGTGCATTTCTATACATTACCTGTAAGGAAGATTCTTTTCCTGTTTTTTGGAAAGAAAATTGCTCGTCTCTCGATTCAGCCATACTTAATAAGTGTATTACAAATATATTGGAAACCACACGGTGTAAAATGTTCAAAACAGAGAACACATAACCTGCAAAAGTTAATCACAATTTATTATATACAATTAGTTTTATTAAAAATAGTGACATGCAATATCACGTATACATAAAGTTTAGTTAATTTTAATTCAATTTTGAAATTATTTAGATATATTGTTCATATTTTTAATATACCTTTTTAAAATATTGAATATTGATGAGACAAATGTACAGACACGAATGCGAATGAATATGAACAAATATCGTTGAATAGTCACAAATGCAAATCTTCTTTGATTACCTTATTTTCTTTTATATATCACCTTCTTTTATTTTACTGCTATTTGATGATGAGTAATGCAGACAAACATAACGAGCATAAACATAAATTGCACATTAGTCGGATGAAATAATTATATAATCGTAAGTCGATAATCAATTAACGAAATATCGATTAATTAAAACCAGAATATTGTCAATCATGGATGCGTTCCTATTTTGCTGTCAGTACTGAAAATCTATAGTTTATGTTACGTACACTATAGATTTTCAGTACCGACAGTGAATATCGGAACGCAGACCATGTTACAATGGAAAAAAAAAAATAAAAAATAATTTTTTTTTACTATGAACAATGCAGTGTATATGGTAGAATCATTAATTATGTATAACATATGTGTGTGTGTGTGTGTATGTGTGTGTATGTGTGTGTGCGTGTGCGGGTGTGTGTATAAATTTATAATGACAGTTTTTTGCGAACATATTATTAAATATTAAAGCTTTTAATTCTTGCTGTTTATTTTTGTAATTATCGCGTATAATAATATTTATTTTTTTTAATTTAGTTATTTTATATTGTGTTTGTGTGTGTGCAGGTATTGTTATAGATTATGTTATATATGTTTAAAAATTATTTTATTGTCCGCAAACGTGCCAAATAGGAATAACATAGAATTTTGAATTAAATTTAATTTTCCACATCTTTCCCTGTATTTCATGCAAAGGACAATATATCACATTACTATTTATTTCTTCAACAACATTAATGTTCAGATTCTCTGATAAAAATGGTCGTGAATATAAAATATCTATTTTTTTCAATTGATGACAAACAATATATATTGTATTATTGGTACATTTTACGATGTTCTTAACTGTCATTAAGTTTCCACTTTTTGTCATGATACAATTATTTGCTTCATTATTGCAGTCGATTTCATAATTTTCTAATATTAGTTTTTTGTATTGCGATTCAACAATATCTCAAATTTTATTTGCCAATATACCATTAACATGTCTTGCTTTTAATTCTAATTTATAAGGTGAGTTTAATAATTTATTATTATTTATGCTCTTATATTGATTTAGCCTTCTTTTTGTGTATCGTCGTATAACTTGCTGCAGTGGTTTTTCTGCTTTACGCAGAAAACTTTTTAAAATTTGTAAAAAATTTTCAAATCTAAACGAACTAAAGGAATCAAGTGGTCCAAATTGTCGAACTTCATTAGAGAGATGCAATAAATTATGTACATTATGAGACATATATTCCTTGCCATAAATTTTTGAAATGAATTTACAAAATGTTGCAACAGTTTTTCTGCATAATCTATATTATTTTTATTTTTATTAGCATTGGACTGATAAGTATAGATATAGCTATATGCAAAGTCAAAAAGTTTGTATATACATTTCTATTTAAAACTGTTTTTAAAACAATAGGCCCAGTGTAAAGCAAAAATTGCCTAAATTCTGTGGCTTTCCAGTATGCTATTTTATTTAAACTTCGAGGTCGTCTTGAAAATTCTTTAGGCACAGCATTTCTTAAATTAATAAGTGCTTGCGAAATATTATCTTTGCTTGCACACCAATGCGAACAGCTAGTGGTCCATTTATCCACAACAATATCATTTTTTTTACAATACCCAAACAAATCAAGTGCATATAGTCAAGAGCAATATTCGACACTAATCCTAAATGAGGCACAAAGAGCAAAATTGTGATTTCTCCTTGATGATAATCAGAGTCTATTTGACGTATAAATCCTTCATCAGTTCTGAGTGCAGCTAATCTTTTTTCATAAGGAAAGCACATTTTGGAGTTAACATGATCTCCATAAATGGTACATTTAGTACAGCTCGAATAGCCATTATGTCCTTTAATATTTAAAATAAAAGATTTTGCTGGAGCATCGCAAATAATGGCCTTAACATTAACTTTAATATTACAGTTTAATAGATCTGAATGATATCCTCTCTGTACTAATGGTATTAATTCTTCCACAAATGGTTGTAAGTATTCATTGGAATTGTTTGGTTTTTTTTTACCATAAAACACCCCGACTATATGCACTTGGTTTGAAATCTCATCTGAAAGTAATATTGGCCAGAAACTACTTGGCGATGATCTGGATATTGGCAAACCATCTATATTAATTAATAACTTAATTTCAGATACTTTCAAAGACATACTTTTATAATGCTGCAGGAATACTTCCAAAGTATTCGATAAAACAAAGTGGTAATACGATCCTCCTGCTAATGCAACTAGTTCAGTAGTTTTCTTGGGTGTTTTTAGAAGCGCTCTTGCATCCTTTGGTAAAATTTTAAATTGTGAATGCGGAGCATGCCTCAAAATCTTCATAAGAGCATTAATTGCATTATGTCTAATTTTAAATTCAAAAGACTAATTTCGAAGATTGCACAACAATTCATTATCCATACTTTTATCATCAATGTTGATATTATCACTTGCGCCGTCACTTGAATTGTCAGAATCTAATGATAAAGGTTGCATTTTTCTCGTTTTTTAGCATCAATAAAATCTTCGTCTGTGACTACTTCTGTGTTATCCG